CTGCTGCCCTGACCGTCACACTCCCTGCACTAGGATGATGTGTCTACAGCTACTGCTTAGCTGTGAGTTCCACAGGGGCCTCGGTTCTGTGTGCTGAAGAACACGGGACAGGATGAGCAGAAGTGAACTTTTATGGTGAAACTGCTCGCTGATTTGATAGGTCTGTGTGAGGGGCTCTCGTCTGGTTTTCTTGCGGCCATATATCTCATGTTCAGATCGACTCCACACCAGCTACCTCCCACAGGTGCCTAGGAAGCCAAGGTGCCTGCAAGGCTCGCCTACTAGGGGAGGGACATGCCCGCAAGAGTCTCAGAGCCTTCTCCGAGGTCCGGGTAGAAGAGAGGGTCTGGAGGGGCTCACGGTCCCTGCGTGGCTAAAACGACGGAGGTGTCTAATGCTATGGCTCCGCTGCGCGATGGCACTTCACCTGCCTTGTAAGCAGTGCCGATGCTTGGGGTTGCTCTTGGTGCCTGAAAGCTGAGAAAAAATGCAGAATGAGAGAAAATTGGGCAGTCCTCCGTCATTGGAACGTTGGTGTTACTGACCCTGCTACATCTTTTAAATGTGTCTTTGTGTTTGGTTACCTCTTTTATTATTGTTGTTGTTGTTTTTATTGCTTTTTAGAGAGAGAAGAAGGGAGAGGGATAGAGAGATAGAAACATCAGTGAGAGAGAAACATCCACCTGCCTCCTGCTAGAGAGATGGAAACATCAGTGAGAGAGAAACATCCACCGGCTGCCTCCTGCACGCCCCCTGCTGGGGAATTGCCCTGACCGGGAATTGAACCTGTGACCTCCTGGTTCATGGGCTGACACTCACCCACTGAGCCACAGGCATCTGGGTTGGTTACTTTTTAGACCACATTCTCTTCATTCATACGGGGTGTTTTTGTGTGTGTGTGTTGTTTGTTTTTTGTATTAAAGTAGTTTTGTCCTAAAAAGAAAACATCCGGGAGTAGAAAACCACACTTGGTCTCCTCACTGGATAGAGCCTCACTGTAGAAGCGTTATGATCCCAGGCACCCCCTGGTGGAACCTGCTTAAATTGCAGGCAAAGTCCCCTGGAGGGAACAGCAAACTGCAAAAGGGCACACCCATATTTATGAAGAGCTACAAGTATTAACTCTACAAGCATTGAGCCTTAGTTTTTTACATGCCAATCCCTGATGCACAATCATTATGTGAAAGTGGAACCAATATGATGTCACAGACACGGGCAGGTTACTATATTTCAATATGTGTAGATGTTATCTCAAAGAACCTCAAAATCCATAGTGTCTTTCTGTTTATATGTATTTTCCTCCTTGATAGAGTGCGAAAACATAATCACTTTCATGTGAAAGGTTCCCCAAATTGCTGGATGCTACAAAGGGACCCTCATGCTCAGAAAGACCAGGGCGTTAGGGGGAGAGCCCACAGCCTTAAAGAACCAGACACCGCGGCAGACCCTCCTGGACACTGCGCCTTAAGGTGAATTCAGATGGGATTTCAGTCTGGCTGCCAGGGAGGAGCTTCCACGGCAACCTTGTACAGAGACTGTAAGTCCGTCCGTCAGAAGAGCAAAGAACTGCAATACAACAGCAGTGTTTATTTGGGAGCCGGGGAGAAACAAGAACAGATGATGTTTGGGAAGTCTCTGCTCCTTCAGCTGATCATGCTCACCCAGGACCACACTCAGGCCGCCACCGCTGATCCAATGCCAAGTCAGGATCCCGGGGCAGACCCCACCCCCTCAGGGACACTAGGGAACCACCTCCCTCTCCGCCCCACTTAGGTCTCCTTGGATGGGGACAGGCAAGTCACCTTCACTCCCTCACCTCCAACAGTGATCATCAGTTCACCTTTCAAGGTTATTCCAAGAATTAGCAGGATCATGTATTCCTTCAGTGCCTAATAGTGGCTGGGATACACTCAAGCTGGGGCCATTGGTTCCAAACCTTCCTTCCTCAAGTCCCCCTTCGGCTTTTATTCTCACAGACTGCAGCCATTTAACATTTACTCCCCCAGAAGGCGAGGGAGGGCTAATTACGGGCTTACTCTGGGCCATGCACTGTTCAGGCACCATCCTCCCGTTAACCCACAGCAACGCTCTAGGACAGGGGTGGGCAAACTTTTTGACTCGAGGGCCACAATGGGTTCTTAAACTGGACCGGAGGCTGGAACAAAAGCATGGATGGAGTGTTTGTGTGAACTAATATAAATTCAAAGTAAACATCATTACATAAAAGGGTACGGTCTTTTTTTTTTTTTAGTTTTATTCATTTCAAACGGGCCGGATCCGGCCCGCGGGCCGTAGTTTGCCCACGTCTGCTCTAGGACCTAGGGTCTAGGTGGCTGTGAGAACCACACTCATTTTCCAGGTGGGAATGGAGGCCGTGAGAGGCCGCACGGCAGAGAACAGGATGGCCAGGCGCTGCATCCAGGGCTCCCAGCCACAGGCCTTATTCTACTTCAACTAGGAAAGTGTTAACCAAAAAAGGGAGAGGTGGAACGTAAGGCTTAATTATAATGAAATGTTTTGAACTCACGCTTGTACATCGGCCATGTCCACAGGAAGTATTGCCTTTGCTTCTCCCAACTCTGGGAGGCAGGCATCTCAGCACCCCAATGCGCAGAGGAGGAAGAGAGCCCAAGGCTGTGACCCAGGTCACCCCCCAGCCAGGCCACCAGGGTGGATCCAGGTCAGACCAGCCTCCTGTCCACGTCGTCCCCCTGCCAGGGCCCCCTGTGACCTTCCCCTCCTCCTTTCCCGCAGTGGAGCAGGAGGGAGGGGAGGGCTCTGCATAGACTCCCGGGGCGAAGTCAGGGAGGAGGTCTCTGGGGGGAGCTGACCCAGAGTCAGAGCCCTTCTGGTGGCCCAGGCCCTGTGGACACTCCGGGAGGAAAATGTAAAGAGTGTTCACTCCCATCAAGTTATGCGGACACTTCCCAGCATTTCAAAGTTAACAGTTCAAAACAGGTGAAACGCAGGTGACAGGAAAGGACCCGGTTCAAACCCTGCTCCACTTGTACTGGTGACGTAGGGAAGCCCCATAACCTCCTGGGCCTCAGGGCCCTCCTCCGTGAGGAATAAAGCAAGCACGGCACCTGGCGTGTTAGCTGACAGCAGCCAGGGTAAAACCACCCACCACACGGCACGGCAGGGGGAGAGCAGAGAGCTGCACCCAGAGGGGGCCTGCAGCCACAGAAACACCTGAATTCACAGTAATTACACACAAAAGCCTGTTTGAGGAGAACTACTGTTCACAAATTGACTGATGAACAATTGTAACTCATGAAAAAAACTGGCCACTAACTTAAACTTAGCAGGAAGTTAACTCTTGCTTCCCACCCAGGCCTGGTGAGGGGGACTATTCCGCATTCACAGGGCACCGCCCAGAAAGGGGCAGGGAGACAAGGGCTTGCCAACGTGGGGAGAACCCCGTGGTCTGGGGCAGGGCCGGTCTGCAGAGCCCACTGCCTGGGGCCCCACCACGCGTCTGCCTGCTTGGAGCTCAGGCTAGTGAAGCTCCCAATCTGGTTTTGCAGAGGAAAGCGTCCGGGCTCCGTCACAGAGCTCCGAGGACGACCAAAGGCTGACTCAGTGAGACGGGACCAGGCCCACCATACCCCTGGCTAATTCGGTGGCTCTCACTCTGCCTGCATCTAATACAGGGGTTCTCAACCTTCTGGCCCTTTAAATACAGTTCCTCATGTTGTGACCCAACCATAAAATTATTTTCGTTGCTACTTCATAACTGTAATGTTGCTACTGTTATGAATCGTAATGTAAATATCTGATATGCAGGATGGTCTTAGGCGACCCCTGTGAAAGGGTCGTTCGACCACCAAAGGGGTCGCGACCCACAGGTTGAGAACCGCTGATCTAATATAACATAAAAAGTACAAAATTAAAGAAGAGAGACAGGTGAGAAGCTCCTCCCACCTGGTTTGCTCACTGCCTGCTGGAGGCGGGGACACCCAGGACTCCACTTCCCGGCTTCCCTCCACATTACATCCTCTTCTACCTAACGGAACTCGCGGGAATCCTGAAGAGCCAGATGCTGACGGTGCTGTCGACCAAGATGCAGGAATCTCATGGGGAAAACCTTGGTGTGAAAGAAATTATTTCAGGGAGAACATGCATGTCCGAGGAGGAGGCTTGTATATGCACAGGAGATCTACGGAGGGGATGGGACTTGGGAGGAACCAGCCAGAGGAATGTGCGAAAGGGCACAGACAGGCACGTTCACTGTCATCTGTTACTAAATGGCAAAAGGATGAAAATGAGCTCCCTAAATATCCATTCAAAGAGGGTGTGGGTGAGTAAGCGGAGGCCTACCCATCCGATGGCGCTCCTCACAGCCACAGGGGCTGCTGCTACGGAAGATTATCTAATAATGTGGAAATGAGACTCAACACGCACTACTAATTGTGAAGGGCAACCCACAAAACAATCTTGAGGTGCCCGCTTTTGTTTTAATTATTTATTATTTTTTAATCCTCACCTGAGGACATGTTTTTATTGATTTTGAAAGAGGGAGGGAGGGAGGGAGGGAGGGAGGAACATCAATGTGAGAGAGAAACATCTATCAGTTGCCTCCCATGTGCACCCCGACTGGGGATTGAACCCGCAACCTGGGCATGTGCCCTGGCCAAGAATCAAACCAGTGACCTTTGGGTGCACGGGCAACATTCAGCCAACTGAGCCGCACAGGCCAGACTCATACATAACTTTACCTCACTTTCCAAGCGTGAGCAGTCAGGTTTTCAGACACTATCCTGAATCGCCACCCTCAGCAGCCTTGGCCGTTTTGCACCCTTTGTCTGCCTCTACATGCTTTGGGCCAAGGCAGCTTGGCCCCTGAACTTCAGAAGCAGCAGTATCCTTGTGTCTCTGGGAGGGCTTTACTTGGATCCTTTTCCTTGTTACCGATGTAACGGGTCTGATCGCTCTGTGGTGTGGTTGTGAAACCCGCTCTGCCGCCTGTTCCTGTGCCTGACCTGGTGGGTTGACGACAACACTGCCCTTTCCCTGCCATCTGCAGGCAAGTCTGAGTCGGGCCACCCAGGAGCAGAAGCAGTTGTCCGAGAAGCTAAGAGAGGAGGCTGAGCAGAAGGAGCAGTTAAGGAGAATGAAGAACGAAATGGAGAATGAGCGCTGGCATCTTGACAAGACCATTGAGAAACTGCAGAAGGAGGTGAGGGAGCAGGAAGAGGCGAGAGAGTGGAGGGAGGGAGCCCGGGGAGGAGAGGGTGTGGGATTCAGCCCCTCTGGGGGCTGATGAAAGCTAAGGAACCTGCAGTTATGTGAAAGCACAAATGCAGATCCCCTGGAACAGCTCATTGGGCTTGTTGAGAATCCCAGATACAGGGAAACAGGTCTAGACTATGCCAGCCCCTCTGGATTCTGGGCCTAGCTGCTCCCCAGTTAGAGGTGGCTACACCTGGACAGCCCATGACTAGGTGCTTTGGAGAGTCTTTGGAGAGGCTGTAGGGGAAAGAGGAGGAGATGCGACCTGTTAGATGGCCCCCAAAGCTAGCTCCCTGACCCCAGATGGAGCGTGCAGGTGGGCTCACCCCGTGTCACTTCTTCCAGATGGCCGACATTGTCGAGGTGTCCCGCACGTCAACGCTGGAGCTCCAGAACCAGCTGGATGACTACAAGGAGAAGAATCGCAGGGAGCTTGCAGAAATGCAAAGGCAGTTGAAGGAGAAAACCCTAGAGGCAGAAAAGTCCCGTCTGACTGCCTCAAAAATGCAGGAGGAGGTAATGCCAGGCCAGACCAGCTCCTGGTTCCACCCTTATTCAGAGTACCCTTCCAGACTGCACTTCTAGGAAGACTGGGGGTGGATTCTTAAGTCAACATCACATGCTTGATTCCTCCGTCTTAACGCTCTGGATGGTTACATGGGATCAATGGCTTGCTAAGGCACAACGCACCCAGGACCTCTGAGGTGAAATTGACAAGACTGTAACTTGACCATTTCCTTGATGAATCCAAGATTTTCTGCCTAAAAAGATTAGCTGCCATTTATGGAGCTCCAGTGGTGTGCCCAGCTGTGTCCAAATGATTCATATGTATTAATGTTTTAATTTAGTCCTAGAACAAGGATTATAGTAACCATGGTGTTCTTTTTTTCTGCCAGTCTTAGAAAATACAGACTTTTATTGGAGTGGGAGTGGTAGACAAGACTTTCAGAATAACAATAATGGAGACAAAAAGAAATCTTCAGGAATTTATGAGTATTGGAATTATTAAAACATATTTTTGGTTTTATAGTGAAGAATAATAGAACAAAGTAACCCAATTGTTAGTTCCCTTAAGTCTCGACTTCTAAAGGACTGAAACATAAAGGGAATGGTTTTGATTATTTTAATGGAAAGCCAAAGGCTCCGAAATGCACATACAGTGAGTGCTGATTGCTATGTATGCTTCTCGCCAGCTGCATGACCTTGAGCACATTGCCCCAATTTTCTGAGCATCTGTTTGTTGCTCCCTCTTTAAAAATATACAAAATAGTAATGATTTAATAATTAACACGCAGGGCTAGATAGCAAAAAGTCTGTATATCCTGAATACTAACATTATTTTTATTTTATTTTTTTTATTCTAAGTCTTACTTTTTTTCATAAGCAGTTCCAAGAGCACTAAGATTCCACAGGAAAACATGTTTTTCTTTAAAAAACAAACTTTTAATATCTTCGATGATCAAAGAAAAGTTGCCCGAGAGTCAGTGTTAAGTGTGTGGAAGAACAATGGATACTTATTACAGACTTCTAGAACACGTCTGAAAGGATCCTGGGAGCATGTCCCCCCTGCCGCAGGGTCATAGGATACAGGAATCCAAGGAAAAACTGAAATTAGCTTATTGGCATCACAGTTCTCTTTGGCATTAAAAACTCATTTCATTCTATAGCAGGTGGGAGGGAGGGCACCACACGGTGCCTGGCATGCAGCGCTCGATCAGTATTCACAATGATTAAGTGTGCAACTAGTAATTTTTGCTACTCACAATTCAGCACATTCCCAACACTACCTGACGTCCCCAAAGGAAAGGAGAAGAGGCTTTGGGCCAGCCAGGGCCCACCGCTGTCTCGCCCCGTAGTGGCATCTGCGATGACTCACTGATTGCTGCCGATTCCCTGGGGATCAGTTTTTCTCATCTAAGTGACAGTGTGTAAACTTCCATAGAGGACGCCACCTTGTCTGACAGCCAGGACAGCTGTGCAGAGAGCGGGCGCGCCAGGCGCCTCTCCAACAACCCCACGCCCTGCCACCTCGTTTGTTTTCCCGAGAGCAGCTCGGGATGCTTGACAATGTCTCCTAAGGGGAACGCCGTATTTTAGGAACTGGATCGTCCCCCACCGGTGTCCTCCCCCCGCATCCCAGACAGCCATCCCGTGGTGCACCCGTCTCAGTCAAAAGGAGACCAAAGGCGCACGCAAATGAGGACAATCGAAGGAAGATTTATCGCCTGCAAGATTGATCAAGGTGTGGGTGGAGACAGGACAGCATGAATCCCAAGGGCAGCTGCGAGGGCCCAGAGTGGGATAAAGCCTGCTGCTGTCAGGTGAACAGTGGCTTTCTGTAGAATAGTGGTTCTCAACCTTCTGGCCCTTTAAATACAGTTCCTCATGTTGTGGCCCAATCATAAAATTATTTTCGTTGCTACTTCATAACTGTAATGTTGCTACTGTTATGAATCGTAATGTAAATATCTGATATGCAGGATGGTCTTAGGCGACCCCTGTGAAAGGGTCGTTCGGCCGCCAAAGGGGTCGCGACCCACAGGTTGAGAACCGCTGATCTAATATAACATAAAAAGTACAAAATTAAAGAAGAGAGACAGGTGAGAAGCTCCTCCCACCTGGTTTGCTCACTGCCTGCTGGAGGCGGGGACACCCAGGACTCCACTTCCCGGCTTCCCTCCACATTACATCCTCTTCTACCTAACGGAACTCGCGGGAATCCTGAAGAGCCAGATGCTGACGGTGCTGTCGACCAAGATGCAGGAATCTCATGGGGAAAACCGTGGTGTGAAAGAAATTATTTCAGGGAGAACATGCATGTCCGAGGAGGAGGCTTGTATATGCACAGGAGATCTACGGAGGGGAGACTTGGGAGGAGGAACCAGCCAGAGGAATGTGCGAAAGGGCACAGACAGGCACGTTCACTGTCATCTGTTACTAAATGGCAAAAGGATGAAAATGAGCTCCCTAAATGTCCATTCAAAGAGGGCGTGGGTGAGTAAGCGGAGGCCTACCCATCCGATGGCGCTCCTCACAGCCACAGGGGCTGCTGCTACGGAAGATTATCTAGTAATGTGGAAATGAGACAACACGCACTACTAATTGTGAAGGGCAACCCACAAAACAATCTTGAGGTGCCCGCTTTTGTTTTAATTATTTATTATTTTTTAATCCTCACCTGAGGACATGTTTTTATTGATTTTGAAAGAGGGAGGGAGGGAGGAACATCAATGTGAGAGAGAAACATTGATTAGCCACCTCCCATACACACCCTGACCAGGAATCAAACCCACAACCTAAGTATGTGCCCTGACCCGGAATCGAACCTGCAGGCTTTTGGTGCATGGGATGATGTTCCCACCATCTGAGCCACACAGCCAGGGCGTGACCTTTATAATTGAATATATACGTTTGTACATACATGCATATGTGAATATTCGGTATAGCACAGGACATTTGGAAGATGTGCCCCCAAATGTTACCGAGACACCTGCTCATGTTCTGGCCCCAGGTGTGCTGAACATAGAGACTGTCTGTTACGGTGGCACCTGGCCCTGAGCCACACGAGGGACCAGCCAAAGGGCAGACTGGATGGAATGAGCCAAATCACCACCCTGGTCCCAGCCCCAGACGGCAGGCAGGCCTGCTCTGTGCCAAGTTCACTTTCTTCCTGTCCACAGCGGCTCCTCCTCCACCTAGAGATCCCCCGGGCTGCCCCAGGGCCCATGAAACACACCCAGTAATTTCACTTCTAAATGTGGTACCAGATAAGCCCTGCCTACTCAATTCCAAGTCCCGGATTTGCTCATGAAAGCCACAGGGACAAGATGACACTGGCCAGGCCTTGGAAGACGGATGACTCAGGTCTTCTGAGCGCGTGTGTGCCTCTGTGAAGAGCCCATCTCACCCAGAGAGTACACTGGAAATGCTGACCCGTGACCATTTAAATATCTGACTTCCGACGGAGCATGCAGCTGACACCCAACAACCTTCCAAAAATACGTGACCAAGTCTATTCCCGTGGAAATGATCCCCGTTCACAGGGGATGAGTCACCAGGTGGAGTGGTGTGGCCGTGGTTCAGATGCCAAGTGGGTGGGTCTCACCCGCCAACAACCCCGTCCTCCTCCTTGCTCCTGGGAGCAGAGTCTGCTCAGGAAGGACCCAGGAGAAGTTCTTTGTGGGGAGGGCGTGAGGGAAAACATGAATCATTAAGGGACGGAATCAAGAAGGCCCTCGGGACTGGGAGTTAGGAATTAAACCCGGGTTAGAGTAGCGGGGGCAGCGTGGAGACGGGACCTCAGAGCGGTGCACTGCATGTCCCATGCGATGCAGAGCAGTGAACTCTAGAGACTCAGGTCTGCGGAGAGGATTGTGTCTCTGACTGAAATCAGCCAGTCAGAGAAAGACCGACACCATGGGATCGCACTTATATGTGGAATCTAATGAACAAAAATAGCAAACTAGAAACAGAAGCATAGAGACACAGAACAGAGTGACAGCTGTCGGAGGGGAGGGAGGTTTGGGGGCTGAGTGAAAAAAAGGTGAAGGAATTAAGCAAAATATATATATATATATATATATATATATATATATATACACATACCCCCAAAACACATAAGCACAAACAACAATACAGTGATAGCCAGAGGGAAAAGGGGTTGGGGAGGTGGGGGAGGGCAAAGCAGGGATAAAAGGGGACAGAGAGAGACAGCTCGGGGCGATGGGCGCACAGCGCAGTGTGCGATGATGTTTGTGGAGCTGTACACTTGAAACCTGTACGGTTTTGCTAACCACTGTCACCCCAAGAAACTCAATAAAAAAAGAGAGACCCAGGTCTAAGCCTCTGCCCTGCGACGAAGTGTGGCCTCCACACCCACTGCACCTGTCCCTGCACCTGCCAGGTGCAGACACTGCGCTGGCCACAGGCCGGCCACCAGACCACGAAGAGCGGAGTGGAGCCTGCCTAGCACAAGGCTCACAGCAGCATGTCTGGCGGGACTAATGACCATTCTCCACGGTCACTTGTTTCCCGAGGAGCTGAGAGCAGAACCCAGCCTTGGACGCACACTTCGGTGTCCATCTGCGAACCTGAAGTGGGTGTGAACAAGCCACATAAGCCCGTGTAGACCTCCCGGTCCCAGAGGTCAGCATGCACCGCAAGCTCACCCATGTCAACGGGACAATGGCTTCGCAGAAATAGTCCCAATCTGGAAACTGGTTTAAGGGTCTAATTTAGTGCTGTCTTGTCAGAAAACAGTCAATTCTGAGGAAAAGAGAGCTAAGGGAATGCTGACTCTTACAAGCTAAGTTAAGCATAAATACTCAGGAGGCAGAGCACACGCGTATCAGAGAGAGAGAAAGCCGTGGAAGGACAGAGGGGCACTGAAGGTGCAGGAGGCCACACACGCCCAGGCAGCCGGGCGGTAGATGTTCACAGCACGCTCACTGCTCTCCGAAATGGTACTGAATATTCATAAGGTCATGCTCATGAGACTAAGTATACAATTTAGGTCTTAACTCAGTTACCCACTGGTGACACCCACTCGGGCATCTAGTCCAAGGCTGCTCATCAAGTCCTCGGCAAGCCACAGAGGTGGCAGGACGGAGCTGTCCCCACGCTTGACAGTAGGACACCTGTGTGTTCACTGGCGCGGACCCTCCCATCCATGGCCCCACAGCTAGCACTTTAATCTGGTCCCT